AAACGGCGTTTGAGTGTCTATTACACGATGAGTAAAAGTGTAGGTGGTTCTGACCTTTTGGTTGAGACACAGGCCCAACATCTGAGTGGGGCAAGAGGACAGGTTTGAATTCTGCTCATTCCTTCGGGCAATCAGAGATGCCTTGGTATGTCTCAACCGTAACGCAGCTGTTACCCTCGAACGGATATATGGCGACATGATGGGTTTCTGCTTTCCAGCATCCTAAGTTGTAGTCAGCTTTATGCATCGTCCGGCTCTAACTGCGTAGAATTTAAGTCAATCTGTTAAACAGCTTATAGCGGGGTATCAAATTCTCTCTTCATTTCCTTTCTCGAAGTGACCTAATTCATAGGATTTTACTCCTTGCATAATAACTCGTCATCATTCCAACTTGGCTTCTTTCACTCACACGTCGTCCGAATACTGGGCATAAATAACGACAAGTTATTATAAGAATAAAATCCTAAGAATTAGGCCACTTCGAGAAAGGAGATCAAGAGAGAATTTGATACCCCGCTATAAGCTGTTTAACAGACTGACTTAAATTCTACGCAGTTAGAGCCGGACGATACATGAAGCTGACTACAACTCAGAATGCTCGGATGCAGTCGGAACCCCTGAGCTATCGAAGGTGCAGGTAGGCCGGAGTTTTTCTGCGGGAAATATACTCAGGTACTGAACAATTTCTCGACTGAAGTACGTGAATCAAACGCTGTGAAAGTCCATGGAATGCATCAGTTTCACACCACGAGACTCTTTGTCAACACCACTGTAGCTCCCCAAAATTCCTATATATTATAGGGCTATTTGGGACGCGAATGTTCATTGGTATGGGAGTTGTGGGATTCAAATCTGTTTTTTCATGAATTCGTATAGCTGGAAAGGCTATAAATCCCTTATTTGTGAGAACACGAACAAACACTTTCCTATGAAACCTAGATATTGGGTCGGCAAATCTGATGGATATGCAATCCCAGGTGAGATGGCCATTATAAAGATGTAAACACACTTTCTAATAAATAAATAAATGTTTTATTCTCGCAGCGAAGAAACTTAACATGAGAGAAGCCAGTTTACAGGCTTCATCACATTGATACATCTCAAAATACCTACAAGACTACGAGTCCTGAGTGGTTTGGACGGAACGTCATCAAACTCTGTTAAAAACAGCCGAAGATCCTGCTAGTTGTGAAACGAACAAGGAAATATCACTTTTCAGCGTATACGGAGTGTTTAAGTTTAGATAATAATAAATATTATCCTCATATAATGGGTTTAACATGAGGGATACCATCTTGCAAGCACCGTCAAATTCATAATTTTTGAAAGTTTACGAACTGGCATGTACTATTATATAATTCACATATCAAGTAATTAGTGTGCATGATCTTATGAAAATTTGCTGAAATTCACGAAATGGGCATGGATTTTCAGTTGCCATAGCACAGGTAGGCTCCACTATCAATATCAAGAGCACTCAGTGTTCGAAGTTTGCGTCATAATCAACAAACGTTGTTAGTCCATCCGCATACTTTCCAACCAGTAATATAACAGTCTATTCCTTAGAATGATCTTCAGTCTTTAGCTTTGCTAACCACAAAGGACCCATTTATGCAATCCGGAGTATTAATAAGGTATCCCCACTTGTGTAACCAATGTATATGTCTATATCAAAGCATTTCCAGGTCACCGTGTCACGTTTAAAGGTAAAATGAATCAATTCCACCAAGAATATTTGTTGTATCGGGTTGATTTAGACGTTGAAACAATCAATAGTCCGAATGGCAGTATTTATACATAGACTTCGAGCATCTTTTGCATTAGCGTAAGCAACATCATTGGAGAGGTGTATTTGTTGTATATTAACTTTAATATGAAAAGGTCACTTGATACAGAGCACCAGAAAGTACGTGGTGTGGAACTACTGCAGGCAAGCTGCGTTCCGAGCCAATAGGTAGATTGGTCGCTGGTTTGATCACCTGTTCGGAACGTCTCTGCTACTAATGCTGTTTGGAAAGTTTAATCGGTTAAAAAGATCGTGACCAACAGGTTAGTTAATCGTGAGGATGGCCCAGAATTCGCGAAAGAGTGAAAGCGGTCCAATAGTTATTGGCGTCAATGGACAGGTATTATTTCCACAAAGTAATTAGGGTCACGGTGAATCTGGGCACCAAAGGTCGACATGGGGCCGTTCTGCAGATGGTAAAAGAAAGAAGTAGCGTAAGCAGATATGGAAAAAGAAATTACTATGCTATCAAATTTGGAGAATAGAGAAGCTCCTATTCTTTTTGACCCATTCGGACTTTAGGTACATTTTCACTTACATATGTATATATAATGCTTATGATCGCACGATCCTTTCTGCTTCGTCGTTTACGTATTGTTGGCCACTTAGCTGTTGATCTTTTAGATTCCTGATGAAACGAACTGAATTAACTATGACACTGTTTGACGTCAGCGAGAACTGAATAACGAAAAACTGTGACCAAGTTTTATCGGTCGAAGTTGGCTCTGAAAGATTAAACAGAGTTGCAGGGAAATCTGCCATCTGATAGGCAGAAAACATTTGGTTTGGAGTAATTATCCGGTCTCATTGTCGTTTGAACACTTACTCGTCCCCAGAGTTATTTTGGTGGTCTTCTGTGAGTCAGTGAAGTCACGTGCAGGTAAATGTTTATTAAAACTGTCAGGCGTCATTTGAAACCTCATCTGACAGTATTCCAGTTGCGACTGGGTATTAAACAGTTGTCGTACTTGAGAATTTCTTCTGGCACAGTTGATTTTCATTTGAAAACCATTGGTCTTTATTCCTCCACTGAACCTTATCAATATCTCTATCTCTTTACCGGGAAACCAAGCCTAAGTGCCGGAAGCTACTACACTTGACACATCTAGGAAACCATCTCGTAGTCAGGTATCCATAGCTCCGGCCTTTTAACCCTAACACTTTTAGTGGCTCGAATGATGATATTCACGCGAGTCGTTGATTATGTGGTCACATGTTGGCTTATTCGAGAAAAGGTGAGGTTTCCTAGGAGGCAGCCCATGCAACTGATGTTTGCGTGACTAATTTTGAGGAATCCCCGACAGAATGACAGCTTTTCTCAGCCACTCTGCTTTTAAACTTCAAGAAACTATTCAATAGAGTCGCTGTTGCTGAAGTTTACTCAAACACTGTTCCCTAGTACGTCTGAAATCACGCGCTTTAGTGCTACAATGTCACCTAGACTCCTCGTAAACGCCTGTAACTTCACGAAAAGCCTTCACAACCAATCGTGGCATACCAAACATTCAAGAAAAGCCATGTGACCATATGCAAGAGTCTCAAATTGGCTGAAAGGCCTTCTAGAAAAGTGTAGAACCCACATAAGCCGCTGAAAATATGAATAAAGCGTTAATTTTATGTACACACATAACTTGAAAATAAATCTTTTATCATTCTCGCCGCTTCTCTGTTTGTGAGAGACCGAGCGACTTTCAACATTGAGGTTTAAGATTATTGGTCGAGTCCATATTTATATACCTACTACATATCCATGTCAAAAACCATCTAATGAAGTGACATGCGGATCTTGCTAAGAATAATCGAAACTGAAAAATTATATGGTGGGACATTAACGACTGTGAGATTAGTAAGAGCACTTTCCGAAAATAGGTTAAGACGCTTTTCCCACTGAAAGAACCTAACAAACTCTTGAAGCTGTCCTGAAGTTCTGAAACCAACCGTGTGTCTCCTTTAGCAGTTCACTTAGGTTACGCCACATCATCTTCGAAATAAAACAAGAAAATGTCGATTAATCTGACGCAACTCAGTTTTTTTGGAAATAAAGGTAGCCATTAAGCAGTAGGACTCCACAGAGGTAGCCAGTGTTTGATCTCAGTTAAGAGCCATTGTCGGCCTTTTAAACCCGGCAAAACATAGGAGTTTAATGAATTAGCCTGCACTCAGGTGGTTACATGAGGTCAGGTGCTGTGATGGCAAACCGTTCATATTCAACTGCTTATAAGTGATAGAAGCCCGAGTGAAGTATTTTTTTATGAGCACCGTTTTCAGGAGCCTGCTAAGATTGCCCGCTAAACACAAGTCTAGGTTGGTCCAAATCAATTTGGGTAATGAACTTTTGTGTGATGGCAGTGAAAATTATGTAAAGCCTGGTGGGCATTCAGAGTAATTCCTCAAGCAAAATTCGGAAACCTGAGTGTTGTATGAGACTATTCCTAATAATAATGCTCAAATTACTATTTCCAAGATGGGCGAAGACAGTACGGTAAACGTCTATAGGAACACACTGGGACGTCGTACACAAAGTATGCAAGATTGTAATTCACTTCAGATGTGTAGTAGGCATCTCACGTGCACAATCACCGAAAACACTGGTCGAAGGGGACGCTAATTTGTAATCAGAAAACCGTAGCATCACCGGTCTTACCACCATGAAAGAGGTTATATGAGCACTGGAATTGACTGACTGTCTAGAATAAGAAATCCGTGAACAAAAGCACATTCCGAGTGTAAAAGTGCCAAATCAAGCAGAGTATGTGCCCACTATATCTCTTGAATAAAGGCCAAGGTACACGGGTACTATTTTTTGTAACCACCACACTATTTCAGAAAACTACACTAAAATAAACAAAGACATGAATTGCAAGCACCAAAACGGCTGTGTAGAAAGACTAATGTAACCGGGGGATCCTGTGGAAGTAGGCATTATTTGAGGTATTACTGAATAAGGTTTGTCAAGCAAACTTTGGATATGATAAACAAATACACAGCTGTAATCTGGGATTTTGTTATATCATTCTTCTTCTCAATAACAGCGAAAAGTCACAAAGCAAAACTGAAACCAATAGAAGATCGATCAGGAAAAAGCACTCAGCTTTGTATCATGTTACATGTTTAGTTATCAATGGTTGGGTACGTTTAGTTGCTTCCCATGGTTGTTCTTTCAAGTTGGTTAATTCGGCGGTTTTTCAAGGTATCTGATTGGATATAATTTCAAATGGGGGATAGAGCTTCTTCAGTCACTGTGGTAATTGTATTTTCATCTCTGTTCATCCATAATTAGAATGTTACTGGATCCATTGAGGACGAGCAGGAAAGCAAACTTAAGGCAAAGTACCCAGGACTCAACCGTCAGGGTGTTGGATCCCTGATTCTACAAAAGCGACTAAACCGTGGAGTAAGTGATTCGTTTGTTTATATGCGTATAATATACTTGTATATATGTATATACACATGTCTCATATACAAACTTAAAAAACTCCAAAATTTCGTGCACACTGATAATCAGGTAATGTTTGAACCAGTATCGAGTTGCCAATGTCCTCATGTGCTGTGGAATGCAGTGACAATCTGGGCATTCTTGTTAGTAAGTCTATATATATGCCAAGTATTAACTTATGCTGTAACCTTTCCTATCTTTTGCTGTCCCCACCCACTACTGCTCTTGGTAATTGCGAAAACTAACCGACACGCTAGAGTTAACGTTGCTCCTCGTTGAGGTCACTGGTGACCAGGATGAGCCTTTTTACATCATTCAGTTCAGGACAGAACAGGGATTCACTGAATTACTTTTGCTCACTTTTGTTCACGGGTTACCTATTGTCCCTCTGTGTTCCTACCACAAACTGAATATTTCTCTAGGCTTCATGAAGAAGGGAATTGCTAGTATTCAGATAAGTAAGTAGATATTCCTACCTTATATACATACTTGACGTTCTCATCCTCAAGCCTAGCATGCAGAGGCTCCACTGCTCTGTCTCCTGCACTAATAGACACCGCCTAAGAGCGCGCAATGGGTTTCCAAGCGGAAATTTCCGAGAAAGCGACACACCCCAGTATTGTCCACCCACGCCTATCGTTTGTGTGATATCGATAGGCACTTATTGAGACTACTTCTGTTTATGCTTAAAGCTGGTTCTGACCAGAGACAAGTGTCTGCCAGAGCATATTGCAAGAGACAGTCACTTATCGGTTCGTTGGCATAAGATACTGTAGATGACCTTTTCATTGGGTCAGCAATCCTACTTGAGCGTTAAGGTTGCCTGCTATTAAGACTGTATCTGAATATTTCACTTTCTATAGTAAGATTGACAATTTGGGATGCAATCCGTCCTTTTTAGTATCCCAACTTCAATCGATGGAAGTGAATGCGGAGACGACGAACATGTAACGGTGTCACGATCCTTCCTGGTTCTTATAGATCCGTCCAGTCGAACAGCTGTCAGAGGATCAGTAATTCCATGTGAGCTAGCCGTTGAATCTCTGAACACTTGTAAAGTAAATCTAGCAGATTAACCATATTGGTCAGGTAAATGACTTCACTCGGGTCCTTTATGTCTCTCAGAAGCAGCACACATTCATGGCTCCAGAGTTTTTGACAAGAGGCACGAATCAGAGCGTCGGTAGCTCCGATATTAAACTGACAACTTGGTTTTAGAAGACCGTTTTGCCAGCGTGGATCGTTAGCAGTGGTCTCAGTGAGAAGATAAGGAAGTTGTAAGAGGCTTAATGCAAATATCAGAAAGTGGAAGCAAATGGGTAATATAGCTAGGCTATAGCTAGCTGGGTTTTGTATACTGCTGGAGGCATGCCAACGGGTGATGCATCCCGAATGTCGACACCGTGAAAGTTATTTTTATAGGGTACCTAGAAGTGAAAAATGATTCGTTTATCATAAATACAGAGCCCATAGGGCATACGATCAAAAACTGTCACGTGGCCTGCTTTTGAGCTCGACATTTTAGTTTCTTTTGAATTCAGCTAGACAATACATAACGCTGAAATCAAAATACCGAGAAATAAGGAGTGTGCTACTCTGGTGGCTGACGTTTTCTAACCTCCTCTCTCATAGGCTAGGTTGCATCAGCATCGACTACTAGTCGTTCATGGAAAACACACTGCCGTCACATCCCGTCCAACCAGTACTACGACTTCATCCTTGGACACCCACTATAGCGTAGCTATTTACACTATAGTGGCAAATGATTTTTGTCTTACCACTGCTCAGAAAACCTGGTATGGTACGACCTCAAAGAACAAGTGTCCCAGCCAACGTAGCTCCTCGGGTCATTGTGATATCCAAGTCCGACCAACACATCAAGGTAACAGTTGTCTCTGTCATCATCATCTTAATCGTCAAACAGGATCTTGTTACTTGTTTTAACATCTCTCTGTCTTCCTGTTTTGTGATTTTCCTTTGCTTTCGATAGCTTTCTTGTTTGTTTATCTATCTTGATGCCTTCTACCTTCATGTGGGATGTGGCAACTTGCAATTACCTATCTAACCCAGTTCCGGCGTTGGCAAATGAATTCAAGGTAATCTTGATGGTCATTTAATATCAGCTTGGAAGCTGACATTACTGTCTAACGGTTCAAGTTCCTACTTCCCACATGAAGTTAAAAGGCATCAAGATAGATAAACAAACAAGAAAGCTATCGAAAGCAAAGGAAAATCACAAAACAGGAAGACAGAGAGATGTTAAAACAAGTAACAAGATCCTGTTTGACGATTAAGATGATGATGACAGAGACAACTGTTACCTTGATGTGTTGGTCGGACTTGGATATCACAATGACCCGAGGAGCTACGTTGGCTGGGACACTTGTTCTTTGAGGTCGTACCATACCAGGTTTTCTGAGCAGTGGTAAGACAAAAATCATTTGCCACTATAGTGTAAATAGCTACGCTATAGTGGGTGTCCAAGGATGAAGTCGTAGTACTGGTTGGACGGGATGTGACGGCAGTGTGTTTTCCATGAACGACTAGTAGTCGATGCTGATGCAACCTAGCCTATGAGAGAGGAGGTTAGAAAACGTCAGCCACCAGAGTAGCACACTCCTTATTTCTCGGTATTTTGATTTCAGCGGTATGTGTTGTCAAGCTGAACTGGTTGAAAAAAATGTAGTTAGCAGCCACATGCAGGTTCGAGTAGTAATCAGTGTGGCACATGTGCTGTGTAATGGCTAATGGTACTTGGGAGGTGAAACGAGGTTGAACATCGTAACTTACTGGTTGAATGCCTCGACAAACTTTAGTGGCTCTACAAGGACTAATTACTAGTGCTTCAAATCCTGTCGTACCTACGCGTCCATATTCACTCATGCCTTTCTTGTTACTCTTCAGATAAAGATCCTATTACTCACTGTCAATATGCCATCAGATGTGAAGACTTATGTCAATACGTGTCTGTGGGGTTCTGTATTCTGCCTTTTCTGTAAGTTCGTCAACATTAACGTTTTAGCGTTTAGCGAAGATGACATCAATCCATACTCAAAATTATCATAAATGTTTGCTGTGTTAAAATCGTGGAGCTGTGGCTCACCTATCGAAGCAGTTATCTTTCAACCAGTGAACTACGGGTTTTGAAGTACACTCCACTTACCGTGGTTTCGGATATCGGTTATTACCAACAGCCTTCACCCATTAGTTGTGACTCATTTCATGAACCGCGTGGGCGGGAAGTGTATTTAAATTAATGTAATAAAATACAGTCCCCACGACATACATAGGTGATTCAGCTCCCGTAAAAATAAACTATAGCAAACTTACTTTTGTTTCATTTGCATCAGTCAATATTGACGCCGGATGATGGTTGAATATGAAATGAAAATCTGCTTTCCTTGACATATCTTTGATACTGCCATTCTGTCTAACTCGATATTTGTAAAGCGGTATCATAAGTACATTAAAGTAATCCAGTTTAAAATAACTGTCCTTATTGTCATTTTTCATGCAGCATAAATACTTTGATTCTGGTGATTACAATATGGCAAGAGCGAAAATTCTACAACAGCAAAAACATGTACTCCCTCCTCAAACAGAAGAAGCCATTCTACATGAGTCAACTGGTGAGACTATGGCCACGCCCGATAGTGTACCAGCTGTTCGCAAAAAATCCATCCTATCTCTAGCTAGTACAGACTCTGTTAACCTGTGACTGCATCTGCTGCTCCTGCTGCTGTTACAAAGGCTTCATTATCCCATCCATCAGATAGTGTAAGTTTATTGTCGACATAGTCAACTAGAAAACAATTGTCTCCGAATTTTATACACTGACGGAAACAATTCTGATATTCATTTAACATGACATATGCGTTTCCCTTCTGCTTTTATAGAGAGAAAAGGTCAATCAAGAATATTGTTTGTGTTACTATCTTGTTTGTCTCCGTCTTACCTTTCTTTGCTTATTTAACTATGAATTTGTAAATCCTGTCTTTTTTCCTATTAATTCTCCTAACAAACCACCCTATTAAAAGAAATTTATTTATGCATTTGCATAATTATCCGATGCATTTGTCCGTCGACTATCACTACCAATCTCTATACTGAAAATATTACGATTATACCTAAAACTATGGATCTTGCTTTTTTTTTCCAGATCGGTCTAGTTTTTTACCATTTTGTTCTCCGGTTTCATTGAGTAAATGTTATATTTATTCTTGTCCTGATTGTTTGATATGTATACACACACCCGTCAAAGTAATAGATTCAATTAATAAGTTGCAAATGTCTTCTTTTGCATCTAGATTATTTATTGATCGTACAGATTGAAGAGCGTTAAAAAGATTTTGGTAAAGTTTGGCATCTATGCTACTGTGGTAGACTTAAGTCATTTTATCTGAAGTCTAGAAATTCCTAATATCTGATTCGATACGTTTATGAATTATGTAGTTGTCCGATGTTCTTGCCTGGTTATTGGTTTTGAATACTATTGCAAATATATGAAGTCAGTGGACTTACTGTTTTGTCTTTTGATTTCAATCAGTTTATTCGACTATCAGTCTAGTATATACTACAATCGCAAACATTCAAGTTGCCGTCACAACAAAATCGTTAATAAAATAAAAATCATCTATAGAAAAAAAGTGTGAGGTAGATGACGTGTGTTTAAACTAAGTATCAACCAACTAATAATCACCATAGTAAAGATTATCTTGACAGTAAATGTGAGGCTGCTTTTCTTTCTGTATCATCATGAAGCGAATTGGTCAACTTATCCAACTTCTACATCCATCCACACCACAGAAGAATGCATCGATTCAAACCATTCCTGGAGCAATATTCTGCATTCATAGGGGAAAAAATGCAACCCAAGCATCCTCAAATTCTCGTCCATTGTTCAATATGCTGCATTTTACTAGCGTTTTCACTGAGTGGGACCAAATTGTCTGCATATTCTGTGTCAGCTGAAAAATCTATGAGTCAATCGGTCCGCATAAAGTTAAAGGATGAGGTGATCCTTATGGGCATGCCTGTAATAAAGTCAAATAGAATAAGGAGCAAATTGATATTCTTAACAGAAATCAATTAAGTTAACCTTATACATGCTTTCTGAGTTGTATTAGTCTTCATAACTTTCTGTTGCAGCTTTTAAAAATATGGTAAATGCAGCCACCGACTTATTTCTCAGTTTTTACCCTGATATAATGAGTTACTCAGCTTCACTTTACACAACAACTAGTTAATTTCAAGTTAGTCGTTACTTTTATATGACATGACTGGTGACTATCCTTGTCAAATTCATCAATTATTCATTGACGTGCAAAATAGGAAACAGCGCTCACACTAAGAAGACTTTCATATTTCTCAATTAATACAAGAATTACACTTCAGTGCTTGAGACATTGCTCAGGTTAAATACATGAGTTACGACTGCACAATGTATCGATTAACAATTTGTGAAGTGGCCCTTCCCAGTAGGATGGTATTAATTATTTGGCCAATATGGTCGAGATTATGCTGAGCGTCTGCTTCATCTCAATTTTAAGCTTTTCGCTAGCGAGGATATTTGATCAGTAGCGGGAAAAAACGCCAGCTAGTTGTAAGAGGTTTAGTCCTCCGAATATGGTTTTCTTCGTGAACTGATTTCATCGAAGTAACCACTGAAAGGCAAGGAAAATACGATATATTTCGTTTCTATTTTTAACTCTCCAACACTGTAGATACGTAACTGCTGCAAGCCTTTAGGTACTGAATTTCAGTGTATGAAGTCTGCATATGGAGGTAGTGCTAATGCTGTCTGGTAAGACAATGAATGCTTCACGAATGTATCCACCAACTCAAAGAGATGAGAGATACCAAGATCATTTACCCAAGTTACATATATTCTCCATTTCAAAATCATACGAGCATAGCACGCTTTCAAAAAGTGAACAACTCATCTAACAGAAAAACTCTCACGAGAGGATGACTATCTTTTCTCCGCAAGTGTCTTCGTCAATACTTTTTACCAAGGAGTGTAAAGAGCAGACTTACAGCACTGTTTCTAGCCTAGTAGTATAGTTGGTTCTTTCAAAGTTGAAAGCAAGCAACACTGAAAGATGGACTAGAAGTGGTGTATAACTTCTCAAAAGATGAAGTTCCTGATTGAATCACAAACTCATAGTTTAAGATTGGTATGAATTTGAATTGACAGTAGTTGAAAGAAGTATTCCATTGAATTCAACTCAGTGGTTTAAAGGTAACATGCTTATGCGTGACCTCTGACTGTCCTGAACTTGATCTCCCCCGGGGCCATGGCTGCACACTGGTGAGGAATCGCAAACTAGGAGGAAATCTTTCTTTAGCTAACCTCAATTTATGAGGAAAATCACTTTCAGCGTGTGAACTACTGAAAGAGGAAGTGTTAACAAGAAAGGAGCAGTATGTTTGTAAGTGTTGCATCAAAATCAAGGTGGTTACGAAGACGATAATGTGAATGATTTTATGTTTTTAAAATCAGTTTTTCACAAAGAAAGAGCAATATTACTTCACTGTTGGTGAACCCATTCTGAGTACTTTTGAAAAACAAATTCCAGATAGTGAACTGATGAGAAAGCCTGAGTAGTTAGGAACAGCCCAGTCTGGTATACGGTAGTATATTTCGTTAGTTCAAGACAATTTTGTGTCAGATGTCACACGTTTGATTCTTGGTTAGATAGTTTCTGACAGAAAACCTATTGACACTACATTTGAACAACTGGAAAACTACTCAAATGTTAACGTGGACCTTGCGAATTGATTCTATTATTAACATCTAGGTAGATAATTAATCTCCAGGTAGAATTTATCATGGACTGACATAAGCTGAAGAACCTTTAGAAACCTGCGAGTACCGAACACCCCTTCTGTCCTAGTACATGACTCCTCAACAATTACGCCCATGACCCTGGCAGAGGTCGAACCCTGAACCTTCAGGTCTCACAGCGCGCACTTCAACTATTCAGTCACTCGGTCGAAGTTGAGTGGTTCAAATTCCACTTACATCAGTTCGCAACAGCTCGACTACCATCTAATTTCATCAGTCAGCATCTATACCAGAATGATGCAGCTGTCCAATGCTCCCACTTTTTCAATGGTTCTCCAACTGTGTCAGTGATAAATATCAACCGGAAATCACGAAATCTTCACAAATCCTTAAAGTTGATTAGTCGTTATCTTTTCCTGGATGTCAGTGACAAGTCTCATTCGCATGTTTAAGAATATCTCTTGATATTTTTTATGAATAAATCACAACGAATTAAGCACAAATAAAAAAGTAATGTTTCATTAGGTTGCCTTTTGCCGATATTTTGAATATTACCCTGTAAAATAGAAGTCATTCATGTGGTCTTGACTGTTAATCGTTCATTAACTTTGCTTATACGGTTACAACAAAATGTATTCATACAGAAATTGTAATTGCAGCTATTAATCCTGTTCACTTTAAAAGTGTGATCAGGTCTTCAAACTAAGTATGATTCTCAAGGACTGTATATGAGGAAGTAACATTATCAGCTTAGAAGACACAACACCAGCTCCATATTCAAATGAGATTTATCACATATAAAGTATGCTGTGGATTAGGTTGTATTTATTCATGCATACTTGTTAACAAACTATCTGTGCCGTGAGCTTAATGAAAGTTATACACTAATCAGTCAGTGGATGATAACTAATGCTATTGTCTATCCCTGAACACTGAGTGAAGCTTGTCAGTCAGGTGTGTCGCATAGTCACGGGACTGCAGTGCATTTGTTCTAGAGATTTCACCAATAATCCATTTGACTCATAAAGAATGAATGAATTTCTCACAAAAAAATTAACTAGTTAAAGGGGGAAGAAAACAGGGAACTCTTCAGACTTGTTTTGAGCACAAATCGATAATTCAAGGAATAAGTTTACTTTACTTCAGGTGCCTGTTCATAGTTGTCAGGCTTTTGAATCTAAAAACAATGAACTCCAATATGTTGACTTCTCATAAATTTGAAAGTGACTTATAATATTTAAGAGTCATAATTCACATCTTTTTACGTGCTACTTGAAGTCAGGATTAACAGTCATTGATACTGAAGGGATTATTTGCCTACCGTGTAGATTAAGTTTATAGCATTGAATCTGAGTAAGTAATGAATGATGACTTTTGATCAATCTAGAATGGAGTGAACTAAAAACATTCGTATCTATCAACTTTTCAGTGAATGTTCGACTAGCATGAATAGAAACAGTTCTTGTTCGACTTAAGTTTCGTGTTTGTTGATACTTTCCACTAAGATGTATCTGTGATCTCAAAGAAACTAATGTCTCCTCTGATGTTCGAACCTGTTTCACCCAGCGCTGTAATCGGAGATGTTACCACTCAGCTGATTGTGATATCTAATAACAGTACATTTCCAATTATATCGAATTAAAGTACATTCAACCGATGATGTATCATGACACCAAACTTATTCTAATTGATTTAGTCTTGTCTACGCACACAGTCACTTGAAAATAATAACAGTCTAATATGTAATTTGAGGCTTATGGCGATTTTATTTTTAAAGATAGTATGCATCATGAACTGACTATTAGCTGGAAAATCAATAAAAACGTAGTAGCGCTGAACAGCTGTTTTGTTTTCATTGGTTTCCAGCTGATTTCTGTCCGTGATGAATACTACTTTGTAAAAGATAAAATCTCAAATGACGTTACCGCATA